AATGGGACGGGGAGGCAGCACGTTGGGGGGGGGGGGGGGGGGGGGTGACACGGCTCGGGCCCGCCAGTGCCCCAACGGGGTCCTAGTTTGTATTTGTTCTAGCTACGAATATCTTTGGATTAGTATGACCCAAGTCCATCTGACAATTCCAAACAAATGTCTTATGTCAAGATATTACAAGACACGTGTAAAGAGAATCTACCAATGGGATATGCAAAATTTACTGGTTACGTTTTTAACTTACAGCTTCTGTGAGGAGTTTGTTGATATTTATGAAAATATTAAAATTCAAATTTTGCCTTTTTATGGTGAGACAATCAGCAAAATGCCTGAAATCAGTGTGAGGGGGCAGGCGTCTGCAGAGCAACAGCAAAAACAGCTGTTTTCACAAATAAATTTCACAATAAATGATAAATTTGAGCGTCATAAGTCAGCAGGACAATATATTTGGTCCTTTAGCATGTGGAGTATAAGATAAGCAATGACAGTTTTTCCAAAGAGGGTGCAAAAATTCACAAAAACCAAAAATTCCTCACAGGAGCTTTAAATATTTAAAACAGAAACTTTTATTTTGAAAAACTGAAGTTGTGAATCTTGCCTAACTCTGTGGTAGATGCGTTCAATTTGGTTTATTTTCTCCTGAAATGAGTGTTATATCTGGGCTTGTCAGATGATTGTGGCTTGGTCCTGGTACACAGTTGATCAGGTAAATGAGCTAGAAACAGGCTGATGTGCAAGTAGAAATTAAAGCCTATCCATAAAAGTGGTGCAGTGTAAATAACAATAATAATAATAACCAACTCAAGCATGATGCACATTATTGCTCCAATAAAAATGAACAAGTTTATCACTGTGGCTACTCTGGAAATTGTAAAAATAAGAAATAAAAGTATGAAATGATCTAATAAACTGGTTTATTGCGGTAGCAGATTTTTGCTACATTTGTATCTGCAACATCAGCTCCATTAGTTAAGAAAGTACAGAAGTTTCATAGCCTGCAAAGTTGCACTATTATTTACTACCAGACATTATACTCTGTGCTGATTGGGCAGTTCCATTTGCTAAACTCAGATTCCTTTCAATGGATTTATAACCTGAGAAAGTTTCTGCCAGGGAAGAGCTCATGCAACAGCAGTGCAAGCTTTTAAAGGCTCAATGAAGGTGAAGATGAGCTGAGGTTTCCATGATACTGTCTTTACATACATGATATGTTTAAATATACACTTATTTTTTGTATTAAGTAAAGAATAAAACAGATTTTAGTTGTAATTTTCATCCCATTTTGCCAGCCTGACGTCTCCTCTCCATACTGCAATTCCAACAGAGACTTATTTCAATGATGGTGAAATGATGGTGTGCAGTAAGTGGGGTTTAAGTGCATATTCACATCAGCTGAAAAAGCAATTACCTTGGCTGTTATAACATCAATCAAACTTTAAAAAAAAAGTCAAGGTATTACCAAAGGGAATTGCAGTGTTAGGTGACACCCCGGTCTATTCTCAGGCTTACATAACAGCTGCACTCTGATGCAGTTTCAGATTATAACAACAACGGTAATATTGAATGACAAGGTGTCAGAGAGAATCCTCGCCTCCTGACCGTCTTCCCTCGAGCTGTCTCTCCTCATCCTTCCCTCTCTGCTGTGATAAATGCCGCCTCCTTCTCTAACTGTCCCTCTCTCACTCTTCCTCCTCCTCCTCCTATCATGCCGGCCCACTCTCCATCTCAGAGACACTCGTCTAACGAGGTGGACAGATTCTGACGGGTCCTAATGAGAACACATTCCACTAGAATAACTTTCAGATCCTATAATTCGCACACACACACATATATATATAAGCCCATACTCCTGGTGTGGCATACAGAGAAGGGAGCGTGCACATATCTACATCTCTAGATGCAGAATTACCCAATTATGCACCTGTGCAATGTGCCAATTATGGGTTCAGTTTTCAATGAATGCGTGTAAAGCCTGCGATGTATCTCTAAGTGGAGGACATAGGAGGAATAGAGCTAATCTGCGAGCCGCATGATGTGGGCCCTTGTGTGGAGGAGTGTGTTTGCATGTTACGTTACTGCCAATGTTAAGGGAATTACGCTGCACGACTTGTCAGTGCACATTTATGTCACGGCGGCCATGCTCCCACGATGAAACAGAGATAGCCCTGCAGTAGCATCGTTTCCAAGACCGAAATTTCAATTCTTCAAGGAGACTGATGCAGCAGTCTGAGCTGACAAGGAAAGAGAAAAACACCAAACAGTCACGGTGCTCTCATGATTTATTCCTCATTTAAAGATGTCTTTCATGTTTCGGATGCTAAACACTGAATTGAAAATCAACTAAATGCCTCTTTGTTAACATATGAATATGAATATTTTAGCCGTTTATGACTTTGTGCATGTTTGAAAATACTTGAAATTTTAGTGATAACGTGTAAAACCTCTTCCCTTCTTATTACCATAATGCACTCCATTAAAATTTGTTAAGATATTCTTCCCCGGCCAAATCTTTTCTACTTATTATGTGCTGCTTTGAAATGAAGTGCTTCTGATTCCCAGTGCTAGGAAAATAAAGTGCTTTTTTAGAAAGCAGTGGCGTGTGGGTCAAGCATTTGTGTCTCTAAAGCAGTGTCATGAATTCATGTTTTACTGAGCTGAAATATTCATACGCTGATGGGGCAAGAAAAATTCAAGAGCTGTGTGAGAGTGAAAGAGGAGACGGCAGGATGGCAAGGTCTGTTTGGCTGTAATCCATGTCAGTCTGGTTGTTGCACACACACGCGCACACACACACACACTCGCGCTCACTCACAGTGGGAGCAGCTTAAAAAGTTCGCATGAGCTTGCACAAGCAGATGCATCACCTTACTCCCTTGAAGAGTGATAAGGAGCTTCATCAAGCATATTTGCAGTCAGAGGCGGGAAAAGGAGAAACAGACTGTGAAGAGAGAGAGAGACCAGGTGGAGGGAAAAGAGGCAGCAAAATACAAGGAGGGAGGAAAGTGATTATGGCCGGATGATAAAACCACTGAGGGGAGCCAAGAAGGGGGGAGAAGGAATTAGAGATAGTTAGGGTCGAGAATAAGGGCAGGAGACAGGAGAGCCGAAACAAAATCAAATGAGGAGAGAAAAACTACAAGGAATAAGGTTAAAGAAGCAGGAGGGAGAGAAGAATCACCAGGGGTAGTTAGGAATGAGAGACGCAAAAAAAAGAAAAAAAAGAAGCGAGTAGGAATCAAAATGAGCAAGTAAGGGACAGACGGAGAGTTAGGAAACAACGTTGAGCGAGATTTATTGAAAAAAGACGGAGTGCAAAGGAGCGGTAGATTAGGAAAAAGCAAACGGGTGGAAGGAAGCAATTTAAACAGAGGGAGGCGCGGCGGAAGAGAAAAATGGCAGGGCAATTAACAGCCAGACCTTGTTTCCGAGTTCTGACTCACATGACGTGATGCGCACACACACACACACAAGGACACAAATGGGGACCAAACAAAACCAAACAACACATATTGAGCTGATCTAATCTAAGCCAAACCAGCCTGTTTCCACCAGCTCTAATCCTATTATTACCACCTCCCACTGGGACTCATCACACACATGTACGCACACAACACCACACACACTCATAGCGAGAAGACACAAGGTTGGCGTCACGTTTACCTGTGGGTTGGTTGCATGAAAAATTACAGCATATCTCGCTGACATTTCTCCAAGCGTGACTGATGACACGATTATAATCAGTGACTCATCTGTTGACAGTCAGACCCAGAAAAAAAAACCCACTTTCACCAATGTGACTGCGGTACAAGTGTGAGGCTATTCCAGATTATTGTTTTTGTTTTGTTCGCTGCAGATCAGTCACGTCAAATCTCAAAATAAGCCACTTTGAAAAAGAAGCCTCTGCCAAATTGGCCCCCCTCGGAGAGACCCCAGTCACATATTAGTGGGGAAAAACTATTAATGCTCCCTCAGACACAACTTAGAACATTTGTGTTGGCAGGAGGATGCAGCTAAATACCTTAATCTTGTTTCACGTTGTATACACAGAGTTAGGAAAGCTACTTTAAAGGCGTAGTAGCTTTGCAATCTACTTTGAAGAGGAAGCTGAACTACAGCAAAGGAGCCCCAGAGGGAACTATAGCATAGTTTAGTGAGGCTGAAATGATTAAAATGACAATGCACGTTTGATGCTGAACATGTGCCTGAAAAGAAAAGGCACTTTTTTTGCAAAAGGTGCCCGACTCTTTACCTTGGCAGGTGTTCATTCTATGTTTGGATGGGCTTTTCTCCCCTACACTGAGCCTCAGGAGGTTTATCCTAGATGACACCGTCGCAGGAGAGCACACGCACAGAACAGCACAAAGTTCAAGCTTGTGGTGGCTGCCCGTTGACTTTATAAGACACAAAGTCCCAGTGACGTGAAGCACTGGTGTTCAAGGAGGGGTTGTGAAGCTTAACAACGGGGGCCATGTCTTAACACCGACTCAAATTCCGTTTCAGTCAAGTGAGAAAAAAAACCAAAGAGGTGGAAAAGAGGTGGGCCGACATCTACATCTTGCCTGTAGGGTTCCTAATTATGCTAATCTATCATGCGTTTATAGTCTTAATGTCTTCAAAAAGGCTGAGTTTAAACCTTTCTCTCGCCCCCCACATGATTAGAGAAATGAGCCATTAAGATCAAAACAGCTTTTTTTCCACCAGGCTGTAAACACGCTGTAGAAACATGGCTGTTAATGTGGGTTTCTGCGCTTTTTGGAGCCTGAAATGCCGTTTTGTTTGCAAGGCTACACAGACTTCATTTTTCAGCGCAGGAGGATAACACCTTCACAGGATGGAAGAAAACGCGGCAGAAGTTGTCAAGCAAAATCACCTAAGTCCAAGTCCTTTCAGATATTAACTGCTCTTAAACAGTCAAAAATGTATTTATTATTGTTTATATTAAGTAAATATAGTGAAAATTGTGTTGCATACTTTAATGAAGTACACTTTCCCCCCAACACTTGGAGTCAAACTAAAAAACTGGAAACCTGGTGTTGCCCTATATAGCTCCTGAGGTGCAACCAGACTGTGTCTGTGTCAAATGGTCTGGCATGCTTAATGAGATAAGAAAAGGGTAATCTGATTCTATATCAGACAGGCTCTAAGGGCATCCAACTCGGCCACCCACAGTGTTGCTAACACACTGGTGTTAAAGCATATCCTTCTCTTTTCTCTCACTGGCACAGAGAATGTAAAATAACAATAATAATGGCAATGATAATGATGATAGGTCCAGCTATTTACGCATGAAGCGATGGACTGCAATGGTGTAAAACACAACAACAGAGTTCAAGGTAAGCATGGGAGAGGCTGGCTGAGTCTGCTAATAAACTAATGAGATTAAAGCTCCAGTGAGGATTTTCAACTGGGAATGAAACAGACTCACATTTATATTAGTGCCTTTAAATGACACATAAAAGAGACAAAACCATGAGTATTAAAATTGATCAGCTTTTTAAAGTACAACTGCAAGGGTGGGTGACGGATAGATGGTAGGCAAAGGCTCTTTGAGAGTTTCTATATTTGCATTTCAAAATAGACAAATGACAATTTTATGGTTTGAAAACACTTCTAACGAGAAAGTATATGAAGCAAATAGAGGTACAACAGGGGTTGCCAAGATGAGAACATACTTAAACTTCCACACAGAGGAGCTTTAAAGCATTTACATCACAGAGTCTTGTTTAAATCGGGTTTCCTGAGCAAGTATGGAAAAAAAGATCAATTTCCAGGTTTTAAAAAGTATGGAAAATGAAAAATAAAGTATGGAAAAATATTTATGTTTCCATACTATTACCACAGTTCTAAAATACTGTTTTCTAAAATGGAAAAGTAGGTATTTCCAAAGATAATACTAAAAAATAGGGTATGGAAAAGTATGGAAATTCCAAGTTAAATGTGCAAATTCTTCACATTAAAATTGTACTTATACAATTATACAAAATAAAGCCACTCATTCACTACATAATAGCAAAGAACTGAGATTTTTCTCATTTTTGTCCTCCCAGCACCGACGTAGAAAGGAATGAATGTCTCAGTAATTACGAGACATCAGAGTAGATGTAAGAGACCTTTACTTAAGGAACACTACGACAACAACACATACTGTTAATGGAGGCAGCAGCTGAGGTACAACAAGGACAAACACATACTTTTGCTATTGTGAGAGCATCTGCAGGTGTGTGAGTGCGCACCTGTGCTGAGAGACGCTTGTATCAGGGCTCGCTCTGCGTCTCTGTGTTTGTTCTGTTCTGTTTTGGCTGGAATACAGTAGATGTGAAGAGATACTAGAAAGCAGCATGAAACTGATGGTCACACTAAGCCAGGCCCGCCTTGGAGAAAATCCCTGGATTACCGCTATGCAGAACCATGCACTAACATATAAATTAATATGCAAATGCACAGAGAGCATCTACAAAGGGGAGAAATCCTTTTTTTATTATTTATCTAGGATGCATTTGGGAGACTCCGCACAGTCAATGGGTCAACCAGCCCATTGACTTTGAGTCTGTGAGTCTGTTTGCCCTGGCGGGATAGAAATGTTAATCTTTTTTTAGTCCATGCCTCAGACCATTGGACACAACGACATCGTCTATTCCCCTGAGTGTTTCACATCCAGCCCCTGAGGAGGGATAAAGTCAGCACTCAGATTTAAGCTCAAGGCTGGAGCTGGTGGTCCGATTCAACATGCTGTTTGTATGTCTCTCTCTCGCTCTGCCTCTCACTGTGAGCTCTCTCTCTTCCCCCATGTCCCTGTCAAACACACACTCACTCTCTTTCTTGTTTGCCACACATCGGACAAATCCTACCCTGAGCTTCCTTTACACTTTGATATTACTATTGTGTTGTACTGTTGGATTACATTTCTTATTCCCTCTGCAAAAACACTGTTTTTAGATTTGTGTGTGTATATTTATGAACGGGATTCAAGAAAACTACTGCCTTGACTTTCACGAAACTTAGCGAAAGTATGCTGCAAAAAACTGATGACGCTTTCAGGATCCAAATCAGACTTGCACAAAAGGCTTATTTTTGACAGTTTCAGAAACAGAAAAGCAGAGAAAATTGATCTGCCACATGGAGAAGCAAAAATATCATCCAAATTATAACCAGGATCTATATAAAAGAGCTCGGACAAGCAAACAGCCACAATTTTCTTCTTTGTGAACATGCTTTTAAACTATATTATTAAAAAAAAGCTGTCATATCTGTGTTATTCTATATCAAAGAGAAACTGCTCCACACTGTCTGTGCTCTGATTATGGCAACACCTATGGAAAATATCGATAAATTGACTTATTCCCTGAAAGAGGTGTCTTGGTGGAAGCACAATGGCTCAACAACCTGAATTTATTGTTCAGAATTCATGACGCCTCTCCAGATGTGTGAGCCTGGCTCTCACGCATCTCTGTGCCATCACATATGATGACTTTTAAACTCTGCACTGTAAGTGTGGAGGATGCAGTGTCCATGATTTCCAAAAAGACTGTTCATTTCTAAATGATTCTAGTCCACCTTATGTGTGTTTGAACTGAAATCACGTTAATATATGGTTCACACAGTTGACTTTTACCTGTATTTGTGGACACAGCAGAGAATAAAGTTCACAGAAGATGTTTCAGAGCTCATGCAGTGATTCACATCTGTTTTTAATGTAGTGCCACCTTTCCACTGTACTTTTAGAACACAGACTTCCCAAGATTTTCTTAACCTTTGATGGAATAACATAAAAAAATTACTCTAAAGTTTCAAGACAATTAAAAAAGTGATGTATAATTTGTTTTGGCTTTGTACATTGGATCACCAGATTTTTTTTAAACACTTTTTTTTTTTCAGATTTAGACCAAACAATGCATCAGATTTCATATAGCGCTTTATCAGACACCCTCAAAGCGCTTTTAATGGATACATCATTCATTCGCTCACACAGTCACACCTTGGTTGTGGTAAACTACTTTAGTAGTAGCAGACTGATGGAAACGTGGCTGCCAGTTTGCGCCTGTGGCCGCTTCGAACACCACCACACAACACTCACAATCATGCACCAGAGGAGGACACACACTGAGAGCAAGGTGGGTTGAGTGTCTTGCCCAAGGGAACAATGGACAGTCCTGGGATAGGGGAGGAATCGAACCGCCAACTTTACAATTATTGGACGACCGCTCTCCCTCCTGAGCTACTGCTGCCCTCAATGTTTAGATATGCTTTACAGCCATCATTTTAAACTGCAACCTGACATTTAGAACTGCATTATTATGAGTACTCAGATTAATCTTGTGTAATAGTGTTGTTATTTGATAGACCCAACCAATCTATATTTAATGTAGCTATTAATACAAGACTCTAAATCCGCATCATTAGCTCAGCTTAAGATTCTTTCATCAGGACACTGAGTCTCTGCTCCATGGGACCCCACACCAACCCACCCCACCCGCCAGCTGACGAGAGGCGCGAGGATTTCCATAAAGGGATCAATAAATTAAGTCTCATCGCTATAGCGTCTATTAACTGTAAGCTGGCTCTTATGACATATAACTTTACTCCGCTGACAATGTCTGCGCGCACGCTGGCACATCCGTGGCAGAGGCACGCACGCGCAAACGCACGCGCAAACGGCTCGCGGTGCCGTCTCTCTCCGTCCCTCTGTCGGGCGGGATGATTAATGAGGCGCGTCCCCGGACACATTCATCCGGGACCCGAGAAGCCCCGGCGATCACCGGGGGAATCAGTCACACCGTCAGCGACACCGAGAACAACAGCGAGCCGAGCTGAGCGTGGATGATTCCAGAAGACTGAGCCGGAACAGAGGTGTCTCCTTTAAGATGGACAGGGCCAAAAATCCTTCAACGTGGTGAAGGAATGTGGATAAAACTAGATAATTTCACGAGTCTTGAGTGTTGACAAGAGTAAACAATCATAAATTATCAACCAAGAAGGTGCTAGATACAAAGAAATGAGAGGGGATCTGAAGCCTGAACAGATTGTAGATGCTCACACTGCAAGCTGTTATAAGGAAGCCAAAAACAAACAAACAAATAAACCAAAGGATAAACTCATTTATTATTGTCTGGTATTTGGAGTCTCACTTTTAATCAATTGAGTATGGTCTTCAGGTTTTAAACTTATCCATGGAAGAAACTCTGGTGTGTTAAAAGTTTAAAGAAATTATCAAACTTTAACTATCATACAAAACTTGTCATCAACCTTTATGACTACTCAAGAATAGTCTCAATATGATATATCAAATGTTTCTCTGCTAACAGATTTGAAGCTCCCCAAAAAGTCTGAAAACTTGTGTAGATTGATGGATACTTTTTATGTTGTTGTCATATTCTGGACGAATACAGTCCAGTCCTTAAAGTCCCCAAAGGTCCCTCACGATTTTAGTCCAAGGGATGCCAAAAAACGCATATAAAACGCTGGATACCCTGATCAAAATAACCAAACTGGCACCAATATCTAAGACGCAGAGATCCTAGGGAGTGAGCACATGTGGGTCTAAACTCAGAGGGTAACCCCCGCCTCTCTCTCTCTCATGTGGAGCCTGGCTTTTGGAGCTCCGTAGGGCTCCAGGCTGACACCACCGTGGGGATACCTGCAGCACCATCCCCGCCTCAGACAGGCTCCATCCAGCCTTTCACCCACATCCAGAGTCACCCAGTCAACGCCGGGAGACACATCCAGAAATTAAACGAAAAAGGGAAAACTTACGGGTTGTTGGCAAAGCTCCGTGCACACCGCTGCCATGGCTGAAAATCCACAAAGCGACCGGCAATAACAACGTCAATCCCCGGGCAGGACGGTGCCGGTGCATCTTCACGGCCAGTGTGGACGCAGCACGATGGGAGAGAGAGAGAGGAAACACTCAGAGGGGGGAAAAAAAGCAGGGAGGAGGTAACGCCAGTCGGTCCGTCACACTTGCTTCTCAGCAGAGGACTGGCAAGAGGAGCCTGGCTGCACGGACTCCCTCTTTCGCTCTCTCTCTCTCCCTCTCTCTTGCTTTCCCTTTCTCTCTCACTCTCCCCCTATGTCTCTCTCACCCTTTCTCTCTCTCTCTCCCCAATAAAGAGATGATGTAAGGATCGCGCTGACTAACACGCTGGTCTGTGTTTGCAAGAGCAACGCACTTCTCTCTGCGGCGATCTTGACTCCTTGTTCAGCGATCCTGGATTATAAAAAAAATAAAAACAACAACAACAGGCGGAGCTCCCACTTTCCCACTTGCACAGGGCGACACTGACTGGGTGCGACTGTCGGGTACAGTACAGTCTCCACTAGTTCAGGGAGGCATGACTGCGCGCAGCTCCAGTGCACTGAACTGATTTCTTCTCTCCAGCGCTCCGGTGCGCTGTCCTTGGTGCTGAACTTCTCTCAGTCTTTCTCTTTCTCTCTCTCCCTCTCTCACTTCCTCTCTCTCTCTCTCACCAAATATCTTTCCGTTTCTTATAGCCAGACAGTGCCCCCCTCCTTCTCTAGGTGGTGGTAGCCTTTACTCTGCATCAGTCTCTTGTCCTCTGAACAGAAAAGCGCGACACCAATTCACCCTCAGCCTTTGTCAGCCCTTGTGTCTTACCTGCTTTCATGTAGCAGTGTCTTTTTGTTCAGTGAAGACACATAAAACAGCAAAAGCAAAACATAAAATAGTTCCACTCTTTGTTGTATGCAGGTGTTTTTCACAAATATGCTCTCCAAAGAGATGTCAGAAATGGGCATTTCTTTACAGCATCATTAATTCTGAAACTATGCCATCGTGTTTTTAGGATTAATTAGGATTTTAAAAATGTTCCAAATCTTACATTGACCCCCCTGCCAAAAGTTTGCTCTCTATAGGTCAGCTTCCCAGCAGCTTATGTTGCAAATTTTATTTTCTAGTTTTTGCAAACCTTCTTGACAGACAGATCAAAAGATGCGTAACTCCTCGTAATTAGGCTGTCAGAAAATACTGCTCAAAATATGCAGGAAACTTTATCAGTGTAATGCCAGAGTTGGATATTTCACATCACTAGTTTGAACCCTTGGTGCAAAGAAGTTGCAGTAGAAAGAGAAGAAAGAGGCCACAACCAGGGTAGTGTCCAAAGGGTCAGCCAGGGGTGGAAAAGTCCCCCTTAGGATGGGCCACCCCAAATTTTAAACAATAATTCAATATGTTTCCATGTTGTTCAAATTATTGAGTCTGACTGGAACTGGGAAAAACATGTAACACATCAGTCCAACTAAAATCCCACTGAACTGAACTTCTCATAGTCATTAGTATCCATTTTCCCTTCCATGTATACTGCTCAATCATGCCAGGCTTTGAACCAGAAGGTGAATAGCACAAATGCAAGTAAGCCAGGTAGTTAACAAAACCTCAGCCGATAAAGGAAGAACATAAATAATACAGCATTCTCTTAATGTGCAAACAAACGTTAAAGAACAGTAAAAGTGACAGCGTTCCCTCAACCAAACTTCAGATCACCATAACAACAGGTACAGAGATAGGGCCGAGGTGATCTTTTAGCCTCCAGAGAAACAGCAACACAACCATCAACTCAACTCTGCCTTACCCCAGACTATGGAAGTTTATGAATAACTCTTTCCCTATCACGTTACCTCAACCAGCGCATTATAAAAAGAGAAAATATCTTTATTTGATTGTATTTGTTCCTTTTCAGTAGACAGAGACACTTGATGCCACCTAGGGCTGGGTGACAAACCAGAAATTTACAATACCGACAATAACTGAAGTCATTTTGCCCATATCGGTATATTAGGTGTCAAAAAAATACATAAATAAAAGTTGTTTTTTGATGTGTGTAGGTAGGCTATGGTCTCATCTCCCTTTAAGATGCTGTTCTACATCATAGACATGACTCCATCCCATCCAGTCCGTAACAAAGAGGGAAAGTCATGTGAGGAGGTGGAGGACGGTGGGGTTAGCAGCTTGTGGAGTAGTTATTGTCCATTATCACTATCGAGGTGAACTGCTCAATATATTGTAATACTGATTTGAGACCATATCGCCCGGCCCTAATGCCACCTATGCATGAATCAGTGCCAAAGTTGAGCCACCACAGAAAAAAAAAATAACATCTGGACACGCCTCTTTTCATCACCAAAGCCAAAAGCCAAGCTCTACTTGACCATGAGAAAAATGTCACAGAGTTGTCCCATGAGGTATGAATTGCCTGACCTGTCAACATCAAGCATGTTCAACAGCAACAATGTTTTGATAATACAGTGGTACACACTATCCAACAGGGGCGTCCCACAAATATCCTTGACAGCAGCAGTGTACTCCAGTTTCTGCAGGTTTTGAAGCCTGTCACTAAAAAGCAATACCAAAGCCCATCATCTCTGTTTTTTCTCGTCCTGTAACATCACTTTCAAGAATGTCTGGGTCTTTGCTCTGCATAGAAATTCATCATCAAAAAAGTCCATCATAAATATAGAAAAATGTAAGAGTACTTAAAGTTTATTGGTTTGAACTCAGGAGATTTTCTAAGTAAAGCTAGCTGAGTTGTTTGGGGAGCAAAGGAATCATATTTAAAAAGGAAATATTCTGAAAGAGTTCATGGAAAGGCCAGTCAATGACTTATATTATTGATCCATAGACATTTGTTATTAAGGTCTGAGGGTGTTCAGTCTGACTGACGTTTTATATCCTTAAGAAGAGGAGTATTGAACTGCTGACTCCTTGCATTTCTCCCATCATAAAACATGACCAAGACTTGTCCAGTCTAGACTGATGACCTGGTTGATGGCAATATTACTGATGTTGTTCTTTTTTTCTCCTCTTGGTCTTTTTCTTTAATGGATTACCAACTCAAGGTTATTTCTTCAATTCATTTTCTGCTTTCTACTTCTTCAGTCTATTTAAAGCTTGACTTCGAGGCTTCAGACACTGTTGAAAGTACCTTCCATGTCTGCAATTTATCACCATCACATCTCATTCACTGTCATCTGACTACAACATTATGTGTGGTTATCGTTACTGCAAGGAGCATTTATCTAAATAAAGGAAACGTCCTGTAAAATGGAAATCCAGGGCTGACGTCCCCACCACTCTGAAATTCTCAAACAAGTCCTGAAACGTTGACAGTAGGATGTTCTGCTTCTGGTGTTGGCAGTCTGATTTTTGGTCACATATTTTCGATTGCTTTGAAAGTATGCCAAAATCCAGAATAAAAACAAAACTGCTATCAAAGATGCAGTCTCTTTGTTGAACTGTGGAACAGTGTTCAGTATTCACAGAGCAGTGCGCCACTCACCATCTTTGCTGTGGAAAGACCCAAGCTCTCTGGACAGCCCTTTTACCCAGTCGTGCCAGTAACCTGCTCCAATTTAACTTTTTTCATCTTTTGTCTTGATGTTTTTCAGGATTTCGTTGTCCCTGTTTTAGGTTTTGTGAATTTACTTTAAAAAGGACCCAGTTTGTCATAAATCCTCTGATGCTCTAACTTCGACATGTCATCAGTTTTGTTTCCTGGTATCAACGAATGTTTTGGGTCTTACAACATACACCATCCACTAGGTGACCCAATCAAGGTAGGCCAATCCTTGGCCTGTGTCCATGGGGCATACTGCTACTGACCCCATTGCTCTCCCCTTCTTAGCCACAGCCATCTAGACGCCTTCTCTGCTGCCTCGACTTTGTTGTTAATGACAATTCTCCTTCTCAGGCCTGTGATGCCCAGGGTTCGATAGGCTTTGCTGGAATAGTGTGCCTGTGGAATAAGTTCTTCTAGCCTCTGGTGGATCCACCTGGCACTGCAGTCATTGTCACAGGTTGTCCTTGAAGGCTCTGATGGGTGGTTGATGCACTCCTGACTTGCTGAAAGGTCCTCAGTGCTACGATTCCGCCGACTTAACCAACATGTTTATTGCCAGTGAAAAGAGGGTCCCCAAGATGGTACAACCAGTGACTACCCACACCTCCAGCCAGTGCCAGTCCGCTGTTGTTTGGCCAGAAGAGACTCTCAACTGAAACTCGCTGTAGTCATCCAGGATTGGCTCTTTCATCTTTCGGGGTATGTTGTGCCTCCCCAGTGCAACTTCAACCAGCTTGTGAGGTATTGATCCATTGGCGCTGGTAAGATCAAGCCACAGGACTGCCAGATCCCCTCTGCCCTCTCTCACCTCCTGGATAAGCTGGGACACCATGCCTGTGTGCTCAAGGCAACCAGGGACACCAGGTATGTCTCCCTTCTGCACAGACGTGTCAATGTAGTTGCTGTCCAGCAGGAAGTTGGAGTCACATACTTTATGTGACTCATGTACTGACTCAGTACATAAGGTTAAATCGAAAGCCCACCAAATTATGTACATTTGATCACCTAGGGACCAACCTTTTCCAGCGGTTGTGTAGAGAAAGTATGAAAGTCTTGACAATAAGGCAAACTAAGCCATTGGAAGAAACTGCCAAAACATCAAGTATTAACTCTTTTCTGTGCTCAGCAATACGTCAAAGCATAAGCCTCTTTGTGTCATTCTTTTCTCCGCCTTTTTCCTCTTTTTTCTTATTTGTTTCTATTTCCCCCCACATCACCCTCCTCTGCCTGTCGATAACTCCATCCACCCCTCTGCCATGCCTTTTGCTGTATGACAGTGCTTTTTCTCCACAAGGACTGCAAATGGGTTTGTCAATATGTCGTGCATGGTAATTTACAGCCATCATTCATCTTATGAAAAAAATGAACTGTGATGACTGATGGCCCACGGATTTTGAACAAATAAGTTGACGACAGCAATGATGAATCTCCAGAGGAAGGCGGTTTTGTTAAATAAAACGCCTGTGAGAAAGGAGTGATTTTCACAGACAGCTGCTGTCCAAGCTGCCACCCTGCTGTTATTTACAGGACAGGCAAAAACATGGCCCCGAGGTGGTGTCACATAGTGTTTGTAGGGTCATTAATAAAAATGCCACCTTTGTCTCTCACATTTTTGAGGATACAAAATTAGACTCTTTCTAATGTCTTATTTCCAAAATCTAGATTGTAAAAACTGGATGTAATTTTAGTAAAACAAGACCATAACCTCCACCCTGCCAATCCAAAAACAAACTGAGCAACCTAATGATCGTGCCAAAAAGATATTTCTGTTTTAAAAATAACCTGGTGCAATGCAGAAATAAACCCTCGTCAATGTCACAGCTAGAGGACAGATTTGAAATCTCAGACTTCACATAATCTCTGTGGTGTGAAATGCAGTGGTTGAGGAAAGTTATTATGGATCAGTGTGGTCTAGCGTCAACAGTGGCTGGCACTTCTTTGGCAAGACTGAAGGAGTTTACAATGGACCTACACAAAGTTAAACTCTAGAAATCCTGGCCCACTCCGAAAAATATTTTTAAAAAGTGAGAGACCTCACACTTATAAGAGAAATACAGGCTGATTTGACAGTTTGGTTCTTGTTGACAGATCCTATTCACCATCAACCAGAGCACCTACTCTCTAAAGCGGAAATTGTGCGAAATTTCTCATGGTCGAACTTGATTTAAGAGTTATTGAAAATGGTGGACAACATGGTTGTAAAGCTAAAGTGGGGCACATGCTACAAGATAACTGCTGATTTTTAGGGCTAATTTGCCCCTTACAACATCGGTCTACAGAGGTCTGATTATCAGATGGTCATAAGGATTGTTTAGTCAGATTACTCTGTGGTGTGAAGGGTGTTAAACGTGGAAAAAAAAATATTAGCCAATCAGAAAGAAAGCTGACTTAAGCAGGAGGCAAAACAAATGCAACCATGGCAACAACAGTTAGCGCCAAGCATAAACTAAGACATCCAATCTGTAGATACATGGAGACAACATTAGTGCTCTTGTGGTCTGCCTTATTTCTGGCTCTAAATTCCTGTTTGACCATAAAAGATTTTACTAAATTTTCAGTTATAAAAGTGAGGTCTCTAGCAGCAAGTTCAAGAAGTCTTTGAGTGTGTTCCAGTTGACAGTTCTGTTGTTGGGGTTACTCTTGCACAGCAGGATATCTGGTCATAAACATTGCACATGTGTAATATTAACTATTTTAAATCAGTATTAGATCAGGGTGGTAAAATCAGTCATAACCTACCAGACACCTGAACCCTGAATTAGACTAACTCTACATCAGTGATAGCACTGGCCTGTGGTTGGCTAAAAATGGAGGGAAAACGATGAGGTAAACATCATTAAAAAACCCATATGAATAGAGAGTTTGAGAATGGTCTCACCAAAATTCTTTCTCAGAGAGAAATTCTCTGGGGGTCAGTGATTTTCTGTTTGGGGAAAAAGTCAAGAGCAAACAAGATTTTTTACTCCACAGCTCCATGAAGACTTCTCTGTTACCTGTATGCCTGCCTTTTTGAGTCATTGTGGCAAACTCAATCACAGATTTAGTTGGAAATACTCCGTTTTATGTGCAGCAAAAGCTTGTTTGAGGTGTTTCAAATAAAAGACAAAACCATCGACTGAGAATGAAAGAGGAAGTGAACTTTCTTTTGCATTTCATGAGGCTTGAGTTTTCTAAGAACAATAAGCTTGTGCTTTTGTCTTAAGGACCATCTCAGGTGCATTTGCTGGCACAACACGAACAACAACAAAACTGTATACACCACATCCTGCTGTGTTAAATCACAGGGAATGTTGCATAGTCAAGTGAAGCAATACAAGCCTAGGCGTCCTGGAGGAAAAGATCCCCACTTTAGGTCAGGGAAAGCACACACATTAAAATTTAAACAGTTACTTGCTGTATCTTTAAGTCCCCAGTGCAGGCAGATATGGGGTTATTTTTAAAATAGTGGTTCGGGGTTTAAGAAGATTTCGCTCAAAATATCTCCCAAACAATACCCCAGAACAACACTGTGAATATCTTCCATTTTAAAAGGCAGCATTGTACTGCATGTTGATACATAGAAGTTGATATTCTGAGTGTGTCACTAATGCTGTTTCTGTGAAAACTTCATATAAACACTCACTTCTTGTGTTTTATCAACACTTAACTAGCATATTTTCCAAAGAAACTATGAAAAATGTTTTTTTTTTAATTGCTACTATGTATAAATCATAATTAAAGAGTTTTCACACTTGCCATTAAGGATCAAGAAGCTCATTTTGCACTCGATGCAGTGGAAAATCAATGAGAACATATTTTTCTACCCCATCTTTATGAAAAAATATACATTTTCTTAAAGTGTTTTCTTTTTTTTTTTCTTTTTTGTTGGACTGCCAACCTTGTACTCACCTTTTTAAAGCACTTGGCCCAGTCTGAAGGATGTAGCGTTGCTGTCTGGAGGAACTCACTGTTGCTGTTGATTGGGCATTTGTAGACTGTGAGGCAGGACTGGTGTGTGGAGACACAACCTCTCCCTTGACCTGCACAAATACACATTAGCAAGCAGTTATTTATTTTAACTTGTAGATCCCAGTGCAACCAATGTTTTTCAGAGAGAGCGAAGGCAGCGTGCCTCCACACAGACAAGCTGAAATAAACACCAAGACTTTTTCAATAAAGTTATACAGGAAGCAAAAGCCTGTGGTCGTGAATAATCATTGTGCTTTGTTATTGGTTTTATTCAAATTAGATAGCATGTGTATATGTCCCTCAGAAGCCTACACAGAAACTGTTAAGGCTTAGGTTCACACTTGGCTTTCACCTTAATAGAACAGGTGCAACAGTGCTTTCATTTCTTCTTTGCATTTTAATGAATAAACAACTACTGTGGTGACTTTGTTTACCAGTTGCTGGAGAATATGTAACTCATATGTAACCTTCTTGCAGCAGACTGGAAATGTAATCAGCCATCTATATCTGTATCCTACATCCACCCTGTGCCACAGTACTGAGAATAATCATATTTAACACCAAGCTTGTTTTTCAAGACATCTCATAGTTGCACTGGAGTGCATCATCAAGTGATGACTTTGGTACTGGAATAAAATTGACTAGCACAGTTTAGATGCTTACAATACTGTGTGTACTTAATAACTACGTATTAAAATCCTGCAGCACACCTTGGTTTTTATCTGAAACTAACCTAGTTTGATTGATCCTTATTCTGAGACTCTGCAGCTGCACCAGATATGGCTCTTTTTGTTGTGTTTCAAGGATTCACTTTGTTTTACAGCTAATCAAAGTTTAGACTTTTAGTGGTATTCATCTCTGTATGTCTTATAAAATCACACATATGTTGAGGCTTGATGATTTTTCTGATAAACAAGAAGTTTAGCTTTCTTTAACATATAGGGTCCCAGCCATCGCACTAGCCACCAAACATCTTTTTAGCTTTGCCTGATTTCTCTAGCAAAGAGACTAAACACAACTTACCCACTTTCTTCCAGCAGCCATTATGGACTGCAGCGGGGTGACGCAGCTCAAGGAAGATCATTTATGATCATATGATCAGACTTCATGGAAATGCAATCAGACCAAGACGCTAAGGCAGAAGAACTACTGCTTCTGAAGTGCAAAATGATTAGTATGGTAATTATACCTTCAAGGACATGATAAAGAAATGATCATAAATGTTCTTCCTTGAGCTGCGTCCCCCTGCTGCAGTCAATGATGGACTAGTCCAAGGTCTCGCAACAAACAAGCGGCTGCTGGAAGAGAGTAGGTGAGTTGTGTTTAGTCTCTTTGCGAAAGAAATTAGGCAAATTAAAAAGATGTTTGGTGGCTAGTGCTGTGGCTGTGACCCTATATGTACTGTTGATGAAGTTAGGTGCTGTTCTGAGTGGTGTATTAATTTTATGCTGGAATATCCCTTTGAGGCTTCATATATATTCTTTGTTTTGTTGATTTGGCCTTGTCTTAGCAGGGTTGTGCTTTGTGCTTCTCATACAGGTGTTTTGCTCTTTTCGTACCTTAGCTGAACTTTGAAAAGTTAATTCACTGTGGTACTAAAAAAAAAGGGGGGGGCTTATTGTAAATGAAACATGCATGAGGTGAAACACGTGTGCTTTTGTGTAGCTTGACCAGGCCATTCCTATAAATGGCACTTAGTTGATTTTTCTAACATGTCCAACAGTCACAGAGAAATTAAAAAGTGCACTTGATCTCAAAATGTCAGCAGCACTAAAGTGGTCAGCTCTGACATTCAAACCTACAACTTTACAAGTGAACTATCACCATTAACAAGAATGAGTCCACCCTCTACAAAGTCCTTATACAAAGATACGGGTCGAATACTTTCTCATTACATTTGAGTGACATTCACACAATCCCCAGAGATACAACACAAACTGATGTACAAATCTGTGTGTTATGGCTTCAACTTGATGTTATTTGTCTCATTCTTGCCTCTCCATTCCCTCCCACAGTCGTCTCTCAGACCCTGTCGGTCCATGCATTCCTCTCTAAGTGCCATTCTCAACTTGCACATAACACCAGATGTCCTCAGACTTTTTTTTCCACTCACCTAACACCCACATCCACCTGTTACAGACTCTCAGATTGTTCCCACCTGATGACACACCTGCCTCTCTATATCTAATCTGTCCTTACTGTATAAAACTGGCTCCTGTTTCAAGTCACTTTTACTACTTTATCTACCACAGCTGCCCTTGCAAAGTACCTAAAAGACGAGCAGTATGAGCGCAGTTTAGGAGCTACTACTGCCTCACCTATACAACACCTTAAATTTCCAACTTGTCGCTCTCATGTCGAGGTTTGTATTCACCAGGAGCTTTGTCAATTTATCTTCTTGTCAATGTGAATCACTCGTATCCCCCGCCACTTGCAACAGATCACATCAATGCTGCAAAACTTGATATCCGCTTTTTGTGTTTTCACCTGCCGCCTGTTTATGACCTACCTTCCTGCCCGATTCGGCCCCCTGGGTTTGCTTGCATGATTGCACTGCTTTCACGTACTGGATTGCACACCTGTTCGTTTGGATATTGGTTTTGTGTCTGCATTGGGGTTCTCGAATAAACCGACAGAGACACTGAGGGTTGGATAGCAAAAATGCAAAATACATCCCTTCTTCTTAGAAAGACAAAGACGTGATGCTGACAGCATATGATATCACCCAATCTATATATAAAACTACAACACTTAATTAACACATGCATGTGATTTAACATGTGCTGCAAGTTGAAAAGAAACTATATCTATTGTTCTTCCTGCCTGCTGTACACTGCATGTTACTGCCTTTATTCACATTGTATAAGCACCTAGAGAGAAAGAAAGTTGACTGCTGCTACATTTCACTCCCAAAAGAAGCACAGTGAAATTGACTTATGTTAATTAACGACCTTTGGTGCCAATCGTTCCAGGGATTATTTGCATATTCTCAAAATAGCACTAGAAGTAGGAAAATCAACAACCGCACTCTCCTCGCTTCTCGCCATTCAAAAGGCATCATAGCTCTCTGCAAGACAAATCAGAAGGCATGTTGTACAAACCACTTATGCAGTACGTTGATCGGCAGGGGAAATGCCCTTATTCATGACTCGGTGGATACGCTGCCTTTTTATGAGTTACTACACAGAATATGTATGATAAAGGAGCTTTGAAGAGTGCCTCACTCAGCTTCAGAAAGTTTCAGACATACACTGTGAAACCAGTATCTGTGAGATAAGAATCAAGAATTCTGCCGTTCTGTTTTTTGAATATCGCCACTAAGAGTATATACTAATTGGTATGACTTGACTGCATCAAGCAGGGACTGTAAACTTAGTATCAATCATGCTTAAAGCTGCTGTGACAGACTGAAATTCATACTTATGGCTTTTTGTGATATGCAAAAGTAAACAAGACCAACACCAAGGTTAGAGATGTCCTGAATCGATGTTGATATCAGATTTTGGTCAGATATCACCAAGAACGATTATCGGATTATATCGGCCTGCATCTCTGATATCAGCACTCTGATACAAGCAGTCCGTTCCAGCACCTCTAGCTAACAGCGTTCAGATCCAGCATGCAGAGCCCACGAAATCACAACAACAGTGTGTACTCTTGTACTCACAAAGGAGCAAGGAGTAGGAGTGATGTCGGCCGAATGGCAGTATTTTTCATTTAAGTCCGAAAAAGGTGTTGCAGCTGAGAGCAACACTTGTCAAGCACAAGTTTGTGCCGATATCGGATCAATAGCGGTATCAGCCAATACTAAAGACTACAATATCGGTATTGTATCGGGAGTAAAAAACTTGTATCAGGACACCCCTAACCTAGATTAGAGATTTTAATATGTTATTTTTTAATGCCTGACATATGAGCAGGAGGGTAGTTGTCAGCTGATGAAACAGTTTTTAAATTTTCCATGTAAAGTATTTAAAATAAATGACAAATTTAACCATCAAAAACCTAAATGATGACATATTGTGTTTAAAGACACTACTTCGGCATGCACAGGACAAGATAAGCAAGGTAGTTTTGTCCACTGGAAAGTCCAACATCGACAGAAACCAAAAGTTCTAAAAGGAGCTTTAAATGGATCGAGTCTGGGGTTGAACCAAGGTACCTGTCAATATGTTTATTGCCCACAGGAGATCCCAGCTAGCATATCCCTTTTGTTGAGAGACTGGCCAGAAAGAAGCATGGAGGCAGAAATAACCACCATCTCCAGTGGGTAATACACTTAATCTTGACATATATCTTATACAACCCCAACTTGAAATACTCAAACTATCCCTTCAGTGACATCAGCCCAAGAAAGTGCTCAAACCAAACATATATTTTGATGCTTTACATATGCCAAAAATTGAACATTAGGGATTTGTAAGGATGCATGGTTGCTGTTTTTTTTTTCTCCCAACGAAGAGTGAATATTTAAGGCAGTCATCTAGAAAAAGAGTGAGCTTTATGGACATTTCATTTATAGTAGAGATAGATTTTTCTAAAAATGGTGCTTCAGACCATCATCGAGAGGTTTGCCACATAAGCCTGAAGAGGAAGCGACCATGGAGATGGCCTCTGTTTTGTTGCTTTTTTTTTCATTTCGGAGCGGCCTTAAGTCACAAGGGTTCGTATATTTTCACAGGACCTTGCAAGAAGAGACACTGCCAGTTCAAGAGGGCACACTGGAGTGGCTGCTGGGAAAGCGAAAAGCGACCGTCAGTTAATTTGTCAGTGTGTTCACAATGCAAAAATGACCTCTGATCATTCCCGTAGGACACTGAGAGTCTTAGCCTCAAAATCGAACAAAAATAACTAAACACACAATTTGTGAAACACATAAGACAGCAAGTTCATGCCCTTATTTCTTAACACTAATGTACCTTTTGTTTTGTTTTGTTTTGCTCTGGTAGTAAACTTCAGGGTTTTTTAATGTAATTTCACTCCATTCCTGACAATGACAGGGGATTTTGTCAGGAATCAGATGTGTAATTAGCCCTCAGACTGAAAGAAAGTCACCGTTTTCGTGATGGACACTTCTGCAGGGAAACAACAAACAGGGTTCCTACACAGTTGGAATTTCCATACTTTTCCATACCCTACTTTTTAGAATTTTTTTTTTGGAAATACCTACTTTCCTATTTTAGAAAACAATTTTTTAGAACCGTGGTAATAGTCTGGAAACATAGATCTTCTTCCATACTTTATTTTTCATTTTACATATTTTTTAAGACCTGGGAATTAATCAAATTTGTTTCCATACTTTTGATACTTGCATAAGGACCCTGAACAAAGGAGTCACTAGTCTTCATAGTTTGAAGCTTCAAAGCATCGAAGGAAAGATTTTTCTCCGCACACAAAAGGACAAGAAAGCTTCAAAGCATCCTACAGCTTCACCCAACTATCACTATCTTATTGTGGATGAGAAAGAGAATGACTTCTTCAGCTGCTAACAACCAATGAAAGGTCTTTTCATCTACATTTCATCAATCCACATCTTTTCGCATTTATAAACGTGTGAGAGGCTTTTTTCCGAAGAACAATGGTTTTCTGTCCTTTTCATACACAGACCTCACATGTTGACCATCACAGTAACGGCATTAAACATTAGGAGCTTTTTCCAAGTAATTATTCCTCCTCCACATTCATAACTGGACAATATTAAAGATGGATTCTTTTTTTTTTCAGCGCTGCAGAGAGATCCCATCAGTCTACGATCTGATAACAGCCTTTTCTTATCCCTATTAAAAATCCAGTTGCAAAGAATGACAAGGTCTGCCACATCAACGTGAGTTTTCTTAAGAAATATAGAAATTGAAGATATTGTGGGAAAAGAAAAGAAACAAAACGAGCAGGAAAAGTAAAATTCGCTGATGTTGCCTTTCACCACATAAATCTAAAACCCTATTTCAACAGTCGCATAGGTCAGACAAGTTTCCATTCTCCTGGTAGACAAGAGACTGACACAATCTGCACTCACAAGGAAGGGTGGTCTTTTAATAATGTCACAGCATAATTGGTTTCTGAAACATTTCATGGCCTTAATTAACTAAATGAGCCTAAAGGAACCGGTAAGGAGCACGGGAAGAGAGGAGGATGGGAAAAAAAAGGGGAGCAGACCAAGGAGTAATACAGCCGATAAAGATCAGATACCTTATCTCTTCAGTTCACAAGTCTGCTATTCATTCCCAGTGCTCCACTCACTCAACTCTGCACCCACATTCTCAATAGGTTTCCTTTTCTGAAGTCAAATTAATGTACTTTACATTCAAAAGCAGTCTCAAGCACACGCAGGGGGAAATTTGCAGCTGACTATGTGGTGAATTCCTGTGGTAGAGCTGAATTCTTGAAATGCTCTTTTACATCGCTCTCTGTAGCCTCAATGCTCCAATGAAAGAGGTGGAGATGATGGCATTCTTCTTTCTCACATGAAGAGCTGGAGCCACTTATTTTAGTTTAAACTCCGCTCTATGCACAGACGGAGACTGTGTTTAAGCATTTTACATTTGTGACTACATATGAGGCATACCTGGTGCTGAACTGCAAAGGGTTACATGCAATAGTCGTTTTAAAAATAGGTATTTCATTACCCGTTTTCAAAATGTATGCACAAAAATTGTTTAAGGGGGCTTTCTAGAACAAGATTAAGACTAAAAACATAAATGAAAGTTCTTGGATGTTTTATTTTTGCTGGTAAAATGTATTTGAGAAGATATTTTTCAGCTCCTTAAATTATCATTTTCTTTGACAGTATGTCAGATAAATTCTGCCCCTGCTCCGGTATTTCCTTCTACTGACGACAGTGAAAAATCTGTCTTTTCTCAAAGATAATGCTCACGTTATCTGATTCAAGGGCACTGTGAGGAGTTTTAAACACTTCAGAAATGGTGTCACTTTTATACCGATGCCTCGTCATGACCCAGAGAGAGACCATCAGTGATAAGATTGGTTATTACTTTATTCTGAATGTCTCTGTTTTCAGGCCTGATTTTTTTCAACAAGAGTCGATGGAGTAAAAAACTCCATAAAGTTTGGGAATGAAAAATTAATACAGTTTTGTGGGTTTTATATTATAGATAATGACCTAACAGAGCCAAAAAATGAACTTCATCACTCTGAACCCTGAAAAAAGGCGCCTCAAACAAAGATAAGACTAAAAAAGTAGACGTGTATACCACTTGTTTGCTCCAACTCTGGTAATATCCACTTTTTTTACAACAATGGGTGAAAGTGCTCATGGGAATTACAGTCTTTACTACCAATTTCATCAAAAGGGGTCACCAAGATCAGCAGTTCCTTTAGTCAAACACTAAATTTTGCAACTTTATTTACAAAGTTGAATCCCAATAAAACTGTTTTATAAGTTTTCTTGGTCCATTCACCTTTTTCTTGAGATTTTGTCCTATAATGGCAACTCAGTGAAGGGATACGTAAGATGGATTGGAAAAGAGACAGTCAGCTTAATCGGACGAAGCTCATAATTATTATTTTTTTTTACCAAATCAGACTCCTCTCCTTGTCCGTGTATACATGCAGCTTAGAAAATCGAATTATTGACATTAATGTGTCTAAAACTAGGGGGTGATATTGGTCTTTTCAGCAGCGCTGTTCCCGGTTGACCCCATACAACAGCAGCAGGTCTGTGCCAGACGTCAGAAGTGGCTACAACTGCTGCTGGGCATTTTCAAGCAAGAAGATGGAGCATAATACAGCGTTGTTTTTGCCGTACGTGATGTATACGCTACTTTTCTGCAGATGAGTGGACGCGACTCCTCATGCTCATGGTTTTTGTTCCAGGGTTATGGGGGTGTGGAGCACACGCACATGCATTGTCCAATAATACTCCGACTATGCTGGTTACATGGTAGAGAAAATTGAATTCCAATCACATTATCTGGGTGTCTTAATTGGAGTTCGGACTAAGGTGTTAACATGCACTTTAATTGTCCGGTCTTAATCGGAGTAAGGCAATAATTCGGTTTTCTCGAGTCTCATGTAAACACACTGTCTGTGTCCCACAAAGACCAGTACTTGGCTCACTACAGTTAGACCTTTATAAGCCCCAATATGGACACACACTTAACCTTGCATATTATGGTTGTGCTGCACTTGGCCGTTTTGAAAAAGATGTGAAAAAAAGAAGTTTTGGGGCTTGGAAAAAGTAAAGAATCATGTAACTTTTCAGGCAATAAAGATGAGACCCTCTGAGTTTATGACTACCTTAAGGTCAAGGCTTTAAAAGCTAAAGGGCAGGGTCCAACAAAACTGATAGCTACGATTTTATACTGTGCTTTGAAAGAGTCTATCAGGCATTTGTAATATATTCAACATTCATTCATTACCAAGACTAAAAAGGTGAGTTCACACCCACCAGTTGTTGATTTTCCACACTGTTTGCCAGTAAGCAGCAGTATTGATTTGAAAGTTTTAGCACTTGATTTTAAATTGCTGCATAGAGTTGGCTCCAAACACACGACTGTTAAGCCTGGGGTATTACTTTGTGAGACCTCTAGATCATTTGGGAGAAGACTGGGAGGAGTGCTCAAGGCAAAATCAGAACAGAGAAAGTCAGCTTTTAGTCATTATTGCTGTACAAGGCTGGTAAATATCTGTCTAGTGGTTTTAGGACTGCTCGTACCAACATATCCTTCGATCCAGATCATTGTTCTCATACACTTCTGAGAGCCAAGTTATTATCTAAGGTGTTGCTGTTTTGTTTTGATAAAAAATATTTCTGTTTTGTCTGTTGAACCTTAATAAAACAGTTCTTTAGACACTGAGGAAGGTGGAGGCTCTTATAAAGAACATGGATAATCTACTTCCCAACACCTTCATGGACCAAAGGGCCAACGGCGGCGAACGGCTCCTCTCACTTTGCTTTTACATTTTAAGAGAAGTTGAAATCAAGCCAAGAGAATTTAGTACGTTTGCGATGATAAGGTCAGCAAATGGTTCAAATCCCCAGACTGTTTAGACCCTTTTTCATGGCACCAGTGTGGCACACTGAGTCTGAAATAAAATAGTGGAGTTTGGAAGAAAGAAGACTATAAATCAGCGACACACCGCGTAGGAGGATTTATTTTTTCTCATTGATATTATCACAGTAAGTGCTCAGGAATCTGTGATTAGAGCTACAATAGCAGTCTGCCTTACAAAAATAACAGATTATTAATCATGAACTGTTGCTGTGTCATGACTAATTGGAATCAAGAAGATTTCACAAAGTAATAAAAATGAATCAAGTTGGTGTTATATAAGTAGAACTGCAGTTATGGAACAATGGTGTAATAAATATGTATGTGTCTAAATTTTTTATGGTATCTGGTCTGGACTTTGAGCCTTTTTGGCAGTTTTACTTTTAATGAACTATTTTAAGAATCACAAGCTTAGACTGACAACAACTGCAAACCATCACATTAAATTATATTCCCTCTAAGGTTGCTCCTTCATTCCCTCTAAGATCTAAACCTTTGCATGAGAGAAGCTTACTGAGTGTTATAAATTAATTACTGTGTTTAAACGGTAAAAAGTCTTTATGACCCGTGGATAAGTAGAGTGATCAGGGTAAATTCCTGCTCAGAGCTGAACTGAGTTTCAACCTCTAGAAGTCTCAGAGGTGTTGTCAGGAAGAACATGGGTGATGAAGGATGTGCTGAGGAGCGAACCTTTCCTTTAACCACAGCAGCTGCTTTTAACTTCCCATTTTGTAGGTGTTGGCAACATGCTTTGACAGGCATGTGCAGTGAGAGCGAGTGTACCCCGGCTAGGAGAAGAATAAAAGAAGTACAAAAACAGCCTCAGTGCTTACCCTTCAGGCGGGAACAAGGCCATGTGATGGGTAATGCTGAGTAACTAAAGTCGAGCTTCATATTTTTGCTTCACAGGCCAGCCAATCCATGTGAAGGTGTCGAAGAGGCCAAGTTCAGATTCTAGGGGATGAAAGCAGACAACAAGAGGACAGGAAGAGATGTTAATTGAAAGGATTGTGGCCTTCATCTCACGAATTACTGGTGTGGCTGCAAATCATGATTTGGTACAATTTGATGTTGGTATTCTGGTCTTAAAGTGTCAGATAGATTTCTTTGAAGGGAAATTATAGCTGAATCAAATGGAAAAAAATAAATAAATAAATAAATAAGGCTGCAACAACGAATCGATGAAGTCGATTCGTCGTGACGAAAAGATCCGTTGCCAACTAATTCTGTAATCCATTCGTCGGGTCTTTATATATGTCCATGGACACCGGCGTGTAAACATCAGCAGGACGCACAGAAAAGAAACAGCCATGGCCGAGGCAGCGGCTGAGAAAAACATGGACACAACCCAACCCAAATCCCGACCTAAAACATCAGTGGTGTGGGAAAACTTTAACAAGACTGAAAAGGAAGGCGTTCAGTGCAACATTTGCAAAGCCCGTTTTGCATGGCTCGGGAGTACATCGATGATGCGTGAGCACAGGGCTCGCAAGTCTCACGCATTCAGCGTATGACACACGCATTCCCACCCGGTTACACGCTCACACACCACACATTGTATTTCTCACGCATTTAAATGAACATGGTGATGTCCACCAAGTTGCACCTCTTTAACTATGAAACAGGGGGAAATCAACTGAGTTTCTCCGAGAGTTCAGAAGCTGCGTGCCACGCACAAGCCAATCAAATAAAGTATATCTACTGAACAGCCAATCAAAAAGCAGCATTGCTGTATCTGGGTAGATTTTGATATCTTGCGGTTTGACTACAGAAGAAGACAGACACTCGCCGAAATAGAGCAGGTTTTTATAAGGACAAGAAAGACCCGATGATTACAGTAAGCCAGTAACCTACACATGCAGAGACCTCAACACCTCATGATATATAAACTCATATAATAAACTAAAGCCCTATGCTATTGCTATTAACAGCTGTATTGATGAATTTAGCCTGTTTATCCGATGAATCGATTAGTTATTAAAATAGTCGACAGATTAATCGATTATCAAAATAATCGTTAGTTGCAGCCCTAAAAATAAAGAAGGTGTATATGCTGACATAGAAAGGTGAAAGAGTCTAAAACCAGACGAACTGAGGAAGTTTCTGAGCTGCTCCTTAAACACATCCAAAAAAGAGAAACTGCTTGACCTGAAATTTGCTACAATGACCGAGAAGATTAAATTTCCTCCATGAATAGGACCAGCCTATTAAAATCATTCAATGCTTGTATATTTTTGTGCTTTGATAGTGTGTCCAAAGTACTCAATCATGACTCATCGATTCAATATACTGTGCAATCCTTTCAAAGTAATAGAGTTTGATTTCTCATTGTTAACATTTACGTGAAAAACAATAGTTTTTTATGTGAAAGCAGTCATCCAATTACATTCACCAAGCAACACTTTTACACATTACCTGGACTCTTTTTATGACTGAGTGGAGAAGAAGTGCTCGGAAAATTGAAAACACTAATTGCATTTTCAGTATGCGATAAAAAAGAAGGACAAATGCTTGAGCCGGGGACCTGTAAAGAACATTAAAGTGTGCTAAGGAGCTGGAATAATAAAAAGATGTTGAGCTCATTAACTTCCCCTCCTTTCTTTTCTCCCTCCTCTTTCCTTTCAGCCTTTTTATCCTCTTCTTTAACCTTTTCTTTTTTTATACGCCCGTCCTTCTTCTCCACACCCACAAACTTTGAATATGTGCATCACATTGTTCGACTTCCTTTAACCTGACTTTCCATAGGATGATTATAATGCATGTTTCCTCACAGCTGCCTACTGTTAAATGCTAATGACTAATCACATTAGCTATATCCTTTATCATCTCAACTGCCACGGCGACCCTTAGCCACGCCGATCCCAACGCCTTGTAATTAATGAGCATTCTGTTAACGATCCAATACACATGCTCTGCTGACTGATGGAATGTTTGGGGAAAAGTGTTTCCAGGTCACCGTGGTTACTGGGCGTCTCGTTAATGACAGAGAGCTCTCCACATAACGAGGGGGCGGGGCAGCCGTGCGTGTCCGAGCAGGTGTGGCTAAGGCAATAAGAGATGGTTAATCGAAATGGAATTAGCTGGCTGATCGTCATTAGATTTGAACGACTGTCCCTCAATATATGCGCCGCCTTAAAGGATTCAATAAAGTTAACTTTGAAAAAGGTTATGTTTTCTATACCACATTTATTTAAAATCAAAAGGTTACTTTGCTTTAAAACTCATACATTTTCAGTGCAGCATGGCTAAGGGCTCTACACTATGAGGCAAGACTAGGGCTGCAACTCCACCTTTGCTAGTTTTTCAGTTTAGTTTAAAGTCATATGGAGTCAGCGTTTCCAAAATAGGGACCACAATCTTTAAGCTTTCTTTTTTTTTTTTAACTTTTATTTATTCCACAATGAGTCAGAAAATTCATCTTAAAAAAAACAACAAAAAATAAGTGATCCCCCTCAAACCCCCAACCCGCCCCTCCAGTACCCGGCACTCTGCATTGCTGCGGTCTTTACTAAAGTTGGTATAACTAGAGAAGCAAGTGGTCGGCAAAATTCATCTCTCGACGGGGTGTCTAACTTGGTGTTACAGTGTGATTGACCCTAACTCAATTTTATGTTGGAATATCCCTTTAAGTAGTGGTTTAAAGTGGGTTCTCATTTCGACTTGTGCAAACACAAATACAACCATAAAAATGATTTCTAAATAGGATCCAGAATACTTAAAGTTAAGCAGTTTGTTATAAAGGTTAAACAGTTTGTGTCTCATCAAGCTAAACAGAGCTGATGGACTTGGAGAGGGAGTCAGATACGGTCAACAACATAGACCATTGAGTCAGTTACACCATTTATGGTCAACACTCTTTGATCTATGTCAATCACAACCACACTTTGACTCTATCATTCTCCAGGAAAAAAATGAATATAATTAAGAAGTTTAAACCGAAACTGTAATTATCTAGCAAACTCACCAATGGTAGAAGGTTGTCAGTAGGTTGTTCTATGTTTACATTGGATCTGAATTCTCCTGGCTGATCTCCTTTGGTTATCATGTGATCTTAAGCCCAGATGGATCATGACACATAAAGGTACATGGCACAAAGTGTGAAATGTTTCAACAGCCATCAGGCTTACTAAAATCCTATCTTGAGAGTTAAGTATAGTTTTTCTAAAATGTTGAGATTATTGTGGACTCTTGTTCAATATCCTGCGGGATCTTCCCTTTCGTTCCATGAATATGAGATGGAAACATGTTTCGAAGCCATGGAATGACACCAGACTGTGTTGCCCAAAATAAAGTAAACAGGAGAAATCCTGGCCTCCCTAATGCAGGCCATGCTTTATTTATTCCCTCCCTTGAAATGCCTCCTCTCTTTTGTCATCTCTCCAGTCTTTATCACCCTCTCCTGCAAAGTCCAAAATGGTTTCTCCTGCTCTTTCTAGCCCTCAGCGTTTGAGATTTTGCTGTGGAGGCATTTTTTCTGTTTGTGGTGGCCATTCGTCCATAAGCTGGATTTATAGTAGCAAATCCAAGGCTTGCTTTACCAGCCAGTCCTTACTCGCAACTTATGTGCGTGTCATTTGTAGAGTGCGTGTGTGTGTGTGCGTGCACCTATATAACTATTTGTTCCAGGATTTTTACTTCTCGTTGAAGGCTGAAGGTCATGATCCTTCCTAATCCAATGATGATTGGCTGGATGCTTGCAGCCTCCAAATATGGACAGGTGCCCTTTTGCTCTGTAGTCCTTAAGTCTAAAATCTTATACACCCACTCCCATTTTCTCCCACACCCCATTACCCCCAACTCCGCCACTCACACACATACACACCCGCACCTTCTTTCCCCTTACATCTGCCTGCCAAATCTCTCCTGTGCAGCCCGTACCTTTCTCCTACTGAATACATAAAACATGCACCATTACAGTATTGCTCCAGTTTCTCACATTGCATTAAACCCTACCGGGCGATTCCAACAACAGCATGGATGCATAATTGAATAATTTATGATCTTTCTGTTTTAAGTGATGCTTTTGGGTCAACAGATGCTATTTCTAAAAGCAAAGATTTGTGTTATTATTGATGTCTATTATTTTCTGAAAAAGAGCATGAAATAAACAAAAGGTACATATAAGATAACACAAGTAACCCTGTTTCTAGCAGCACTTTTTTCATGATTTTCTTGAATCAAGATCACAAGAAATGAAGGCTACTGAAAAATGATCCATCTCTGCCGGTGGATTTTTTGGTGATTATGTGTTCCTTTATGAAAAAAATACAGCTCTCTTTTTCTTGGGCTAAAACTTAATCCATGTGAGAGAGTGTAACTTTCTGGATTTCGTTTTATGATAGAAACATTACTCAGTGGCATAAAAAAAATTAATAGGCAGCAAAATCTGCAGCATATTAAAGCAATATTTTCCTCTGAGAATATGCTAGGCCATCACACATTTTAAAATACGCATAGATTTGGTTGATAGGAATTCATAAAAGCTACCTTTTACATTCATGTATTCATACCTCTTTCTCAAAAACTATTAATTCAGCTAACACTCTCATTATTTCAACCATGAACTTACTCTAACCTCACTCCCCACCCCTTTACTATCACTATCAACCTCACCACCCTGCCCCAGCACCATTCTATTATTGAAACTATGGCAATGTAATATTTCCACCAATGATGGTAATGTCTTGTCCCCGATAATACCAACTGGAAAGGCTGACGACTCATTTCAGAGCTGAGTGCGGGTCTAATGAGAAAGTGACCAGGGCTGGAGGAAGATAGAGACCTTTTCAATTACTTTGGAGGTGAAAGGACAGCCTATTCTACTGTATATATATGTGATTGGCAATAACACCATCATAATCAGGCAGAGGGGAGGGACAGGACGATTTCACAGTCATATTCTACGATTTTTATTAATGAAAAAGCCAGGGGCCTTTTGTCACCGAGGAATAAAACTGTAAGATTATACATATATTATATGACTCTGTATTTACAATTCTGTCATGGTGTGAACCACCTCCTTTGCTATGCATGGACATCCCTCACGGGCCTTTTCCATCTTCTATGAAAGGCAACACTGACGTCAACCCTTATTTCTTGTTTTGGATTTTCAAAACTTTTGAACATGGCAGCTTCCTGTATATTCTATTAGTGAAAAAACTTTAAATTTTAACATATTTTTGCATGGCACGTTCTATTCATAGACTGTATACAATGTTGACTACGTGACTCCGCCTCCCGTCATTGAAGCCAAAATGCTCACGGTGTTTTCTGGGAATGTCTCCCACCACCATGGTGGGAGAACATGGTGATGATGCTCTACCCAAACTACATATTCCTAGGTGTCCTGTACAATCATTTTACACCCATTGACTGTATCGAGTGTCAATCATCAAAAAGTAACGTTTTTATAACTTTTTTCTTTCTGTAACGAGCACAAACCAGTCTAACAAAAACTACATGTCAACACCACAAAATGTGTTGAGAAAAATATATGTGATTTGTATAAGTTTGCCTATAGCTCCCTCTGTTTAGCTGGAGGAGGTGAGGTTTATGACCTATACTGCAACCAGTCACTAGGAGGTGCTGTTCTCGAGGAGGCTTTACCCAGCGAGGAGGTAGAGGACGTCCATTCTTTATACAGTCTGTTTCTATTCTACTTCTTTGGGTAAATGCTGCGTAAGTCCACACAGTTTATATTAAAATCAGATTTTAGTCTTGTTTCTGAGTTCTAGTTTCCATCCTCAATACAAACATGGGCGTAGAATTGGGGAGGAAAGCTAGGGACACATCCCTACCAATAATCAGCTGCTACAGTGTAGTCCTTATCAATACAACTGCTGTCCATAATGTTTAAGCAATAATTATGGCACACAACGGGTTAACCGTCGGTCTCTGCTAGAAGTCCCACCTGTAACCTAAATATCGCCTTTCAATAGGCTGCTGGTTTCTTGCTTATGTACATGTGATAAGCTGTCCCCGCTGTCACTACATCTGCCTGTAAAAGTTACCTGCCAGTTGGACCAGACAGGAGGCAGACAGTGCATGTTATTTGACCAAGAAGTTTAAGTTGTTTGTTTGGTATATTGTGCCTGGGTCACGTCAGCTTAAACGGATTTCAATATCAGCAGTATCAATTACATTTGTGTTTGTGTCGGTTTGTGTGCGTGCGTGTGTGCATGTGTTCGCTTGCTCTACATGACGCAAAATTATGATTGCAAATGCAAAAAAACAAACTTTCAGGAGGACAATTTTGTGTCCCCACCAATGTCAAAACCAAACCTACTCCCTTGCCTCCAAACTCTGATTACCATCCAAAATGACAACAAATATTGCCTTTAAGAAATGGAAACGGTAAACATGAAGTCATCCTTTTCCCCCTCCACTGAATTATGCTTGTGTGAAACATCGACAGAAAACCAAACTTGTAAAGCACATTCTATAGTTCTTCATTCACTACTTGAGCATTTCTAACATCTGTTCTATGAGTGAAATATTGTGCTGTCTAACAAAGACTTCAGGAAACAGCAGCGCATTCAATTAAAAAGCATGATTTCAGTTAATTTTTATACAGTCTCATCAATTACTGTGTAAGGTGCCACTTTCTCTACTGCTGATGTCTCATTTTAGAACAGATTTCCTCAGTCTCCCAGTTGGGCTCAGTGTGGATGGTAACTCACTGTTGCGTAATGCTGCTACCAAACTGCTTTCCAGCTCCAGATGTGCCTGCAGATGTCGATTGCTATAGCAATTTAATGGCAGGTGGTGATGTTTTTCATGGCAACTGCACTGAACTGATATGCCGATGATCCATCATTATCCCCAGTGAGGATAAATACTATTATCTGTTTACTGAGATCGAAGATCGGCTCTGGTAATTGGAGCGGGGCGCTATTTTCAAGTGAAATCAACCAAAATGTAGGAATTTGTTCTTTTTCAGCCTGTGACACAAAGTTTTGCTGCTATTCATAAACATGTAAAATCTCAGTTTATAGAAAAAAAGCTGGTGTTGTGTGACTGGACTGAATTTCTGAGCTACATGGCTTTAATAGAGAATAAATAGAACGGCCCAAGAGCTGGATGAAACGGGTGCATCTTTGGGAAGAAATACCAACAAACACAAGCTTTTTTATCTCAGGTCAGATAGCGCTGTTTCCGTCTGAGCCTGCTTGTCCCAAAATGGCTCCATTAGCAAATACAATTTCAGCCGTTACACACGACTGAAAACCCTATCTGAAGGAAGCACACATCGCAAGCAAACAGACACACACACACACACACGGAGGAAGGTGTGAGTGCTGGGGACACACACGCACACACATACACGCAAGCAGGTAAGACAGCAATGTTGTTTTTCTCTGAAACATCTTGATCCATTTCAGATCTTAAATGCGGCTTTAAAAGGCTGAGAGTGCATTATATGGAGATCCTGCAGAGGAATATCGAGGAATGGAAAAAGTCTTTAATATAATACCTGCTTATTCCTCCTGTGTCTGAGCTGTTTAGGGGCTGTGAGGCAGAAAAAGAAAGTAATAATGGAAACAAATCAGGGAGCTCTAAAAGAAGAAATGTGGAAATGAAAGGGTAAAAATACACAGGAGGAAGGGGAAAGAATAGACAGAGTTGGATAAAGAGGGGAGATTATCTACTGTTGGCAGATCTTGTTTCTAAACAGTATATCGGGGTGAAATGTGTTGCGTTGGCTAAAAACGGCCCTGGCTAAGCAGGAAGGTGTTTGTCTGGGTTGCTGGCAAAGAATCTGTAGTGCTTCGTGGCAGATGCTCAAAGTAAAGTCCCACCTTTAATTTATTTATCAGTCTCAGATGTTGGCTTTAATTTGAAGAGAAAAAATGTGTTTACAACTTTAGTCAAAGACTGAACGTCCTGTTCTGGCTTTTAAAATTTTGAAATCGATTTTAAAAATGCTTCTCCTGTATCTTTCATACACAAAAAAGTCTGCATAAAATTTCCTAGATACACACATTACCGAATTTGTTGCAAAATTAGAATTCATTAGAAGTCCATTTGGTGTGCAATTCATTAAGAGTCCAAAATTCACTCCCCATCAGCTCTGACTTTAGCCCCCTCCAATTCCTGATGGAAATGTCAAGCTTTTAGCAGTCATTTTTTTCACTGTGTTTCAGTTGAATTTCTCTTTACCTGCCCAGTGCCTAAAGTAGGTTTTTAGGACTCTTTTCCCCACAGAAAGAAGCTGCTTATTTTGGACTGAAAGCAGGTCTGCCAGAAACCGCTGAAGAAAATCTTCAATTTTTGATCAAACCATTTTGATTATACACCTATCAGCTATAGCATTATGTCTACTGAAAGGTGAGGTGGATAACATTAGTGTTGAAAGCATGAATGATGGGCTTGGGTAGGGATGAGTGGGATTTTCACAAGGGCCAAATTGTGATGGCAAGGGGACTAGGTCAGAGTATCTCCTCAAAGCAGTTGTTGAGGGGCGTTTCCCAGTCTGCAGTGATCAGTAACAACAAAAACTAGTCCGAGGGAGAAAACTTGTGACAGATTCATGGGTGTCTGAGGCTCACTGATGTGTGTGTAGAGTGAAGCAGGCCAGGCTTCACTGGCAGAGGGGAGCTGAAATAGCTGAAAAAAATTCAAGCTGGATCAGACGGAAATGGACTAGGCTGCACAGCCACAGATGTACCAGTGGTCCAACACTGACCCTACAAGCACCTTAATAGTGCTTGTAAGTGGCAGAAATGCACAAAACTGCAGTTCCACAAGTGCCCACTTGAGACTGGCTGCAGAAGGAACAGAAATCACGCACACACTGAAAGCTAAAACATACAGGATGCGTATTTGGAGCGTGGCAGCAGCGCCATGTGTCACGCAGCAAATAGGTTGCCATTCTAATCAATGCAGCAAAGCTTACAGGACGCGTATCAGCTCCGTCGCAGCATCGTATTGAGAACAGCACTGCTAAAGATACACCAGGAGTCTATTTTTGCTGCTCTACGCTTCTAATGCATGTCAATCCACACAAAAAAAACATTCCAGACAGGGAGTCAAGCACAAAAACCGCGCATGTCTTCCAGTATTTCAAAATAAAACACCATATGCAAACTCCCGACTGTGTATCAGTTTGTGTAGATGAGAAATACTTCCAGGTTATGGATTTGTCAGTAACACAGAACACTCCAATAACTCTGTCTGAAGGTAACAGCACAGCATAAAGGAATATAGTTTACTTTACTTAACACGAGTAAACCTGCAAAAACCGAAACTGTGAAATCACATTGCTTTTTCACATATAGTACAGGCTCAACGGTCACTGAATTATATCTAAATTAGCAGGAAATAGACCACAGAAAGGCAAAACAACCTGTTGTGAGCATGTTGTTTCCTCTATACTGAGCCCAGCTGACCAAGGCTGCACTACGCTGCTGCCACGCTACAAATACACATGTATACTAATACCTAATGTTGCTCTATGGAGCAAATACGGAACATGCTCTATACAGATCTTGTGAGCATTTCAAGGCTCCCATGGCACCTACTGCAACAAGTAATTTTTTTGTAAAGCCTTTGTTTCGAAGATATTAAGGTTGCAAGATCGGCCAGTCAGAGGCATGGCTGACTGATAGTTTTACTAAGGGCTTGCATGGAACTGTAGAAGATCTGCTGCTAAGGTCCAGGTGAAATATACCTCAGAGGTCCACCCCAAGAGGCTGAGCATAGTGCAAGTCTTGCTAGACTGAGGAATACAATCCTCGAAGCTTTCTGCAACAGAATCTGACAAAAACCAACAGTGGATTGGGAAACTCACTGCAGCATTGTATCTCCGTTTGTTAGCCACCCAATGCCAGGATGCCAGCGGCTAAGTCTAATGATCTAATGAGCTAATGAGCCGGCTGCAGCAGCCAGCAGAGCTGCCACCCAATGCTGATGGCTCAAGGAAAAGAAACAACAAATGCCAGCACAGCCCGTGGAGCACTTACTCACAAGCTAAAATACAGAGAATGAGTGGCATGAAATCCTTAAGAAGTGTGCTGAAATCATCCAAAGCATATCCAGTGCAACACCGAAGGTCAGCTATGGAAAATCTATGACATGCTAATTTTCTATTAGGTATTCAGACACTCTTGCAAATATAATGATTTTTTTTTTTTTAGTGGTGTTATTTTTTACTTGAGTGGATAGATTGATGGATACATTATTAATTCAACAGACAATTAGCTGGAGGCAAGTTAGCACAAACAAAGGATTGAGGGGAAAATCAAGGTTGTGAAATTTTCAACAACCTGGAAAGCCAGAAAGAAGATGCTTGAAAAAGAGTGAGGTGGGTATGACCTCTCTTTTCTTCTCCATTCGCCCTTGAATCTTCTTCTTTTGCCTGCACTGTTCCTCTAAATTGACTCGGGGTTTTTACACTTGTGGAATTATGTTGCACATCTTCTCTTTAAAACCAGCTAAGAACTCTTCTAAATGTATTCACTCTTTTGTTTTTGCAGTAATGAAAGAAAAAAAGCGGCTGGTTTGGGGCACCACTGTGCATGTGAATGTGTATTTTCTTGTTCCCATTAATTGTGTCTGACAGCATGTATCTCTCTCATCCCCCCTCCAACTGTTGACATCTGTTTTTCATATACACCTCGCAGCCATAGGGGACTCTTGCACAGCTGCTCACAAACAGTACATACACACATGCAGGAGGCCAGAATTTACCCACCATGCACAGATGTTACTATTAAAAATATGAAGGACACTGACTGGAAGTACACGATAGACAAGGCTTGGGTCCTGATACCAACTGATAAAGTTTGTTTTGCAACTTCCATGATAAAGTTCTCTGTTTTGCATGCAAGGAAATGTGAAAGTATAAAGGAATATAGAAAGTTATTTTCTGTCTAAGCTTCCCTTCTGTCTAGGCTTAGAATAAATTGCCTTTTGACTTTGTTTCTACATAACTTATCCTATTTTAGCACCTCCAGGTGTTTTGAACATGTTGATATGAAACTTTACTTTTGAGGCTCAAAACTTCGATCTAAAAATGGAACAGCCTGTGGCTCACCTCAGTACAGTAAGAACTAATCATGAAACTGCGCCAATCACTCCCTTTGTTACAAATTTGTGAAGCCCACCAGTTTAGCTACAAGGGTGTCCAAGTCTGAAAACAATCACTGACTAGACAACTTCATTGGTGTGAGGTCAAATACAAGTGTGTGCCATCCCACATTTGTGGGTGGTGTATCAACAGTCCTTCTAACTCATATTTTTCCCAGCAGCAACTTTCTTCACTGGCAGCCCGTAGCCTGAGGACCAGCTGAACCCAGGAGCAGAGTCAGAGGCTCAATCCAGAGGCAAACATCAAGTTAAGTTTACTCAAGTTATCTTCTCTATGGATACAAGACTAGACAGTGTCTCCAGCTCCCCACCCACAACCTATTTTTGAGCACAATTCAGTGAAACCCAAATTCATCCTGATTAAATAAGGGGTCATTTAAAACGCAGAAAGTCCCGACCCAAAATTGAGTTTTGTGAAATTTGGAGATTAAAGAGAACAATGCCTGGATTTTCAGTAAAGCTTTGAACTTCTAAGTATCTTAACCCTGGTTTCAGGGGGAGTGAGTTTCTGCTGAATTTGTTCAAACGTTACCATCACTCCCCTGTTAAACAAATGTCACTATGCCAGAAATCCTCTCTCTCTTCAGATGTTAAAGGTGGGGTAGGCAGGATTCTGTTAAAGAAGCATCTTTTTTTTTTTGCCAACTGCCAACACAAGCAAGAAAACGAAGTAAATACAGGAGACTCTGGCAGAATAATGGGCGCTTAAAGAGGAGGTAGACCAGGAGGTAGCCGGGTCAACATAAAATAATGGGGGACGCTGCGGGATCTGTAACCTCTCTGCTGGACAGATAAACTACTTTAACAAAATAAGCCACATGTCTGTAACAGTGTCTCTTGCCAAACGGGACCTGCTGTGTGTTGTAGCGCCGCTAAACTGTTTCCCTCAGGTCCTGGACTATGTCACTTTATCTTCAGATCCCGCCTAACCCACCTTTAAGTCATTTATTAGAGCTGAAAGAAAATCCACCTTATATAAGAAACAGGGTAGATAGTGGTTTGAGTGGTCTTCTCTTTCTTATCGGTTTCCAAATGCAAAACCTGGATGTGTATTTCTTGCGCGAGTGATTCCAGGTCTAGCCATACTCAGTCTGTTGAAATGCAAAGTTAAGTCAAGCTGCTGTAGATCATGTAGGCAATATAACAAGACTACCATCCTCATCCCAGCAAATAAGCATCAGGTGAGAAGTAATTTATTTTTACAGCTCCGCACCTTTCGATCACACTCTGCACTGAGGTGGATGCTATTCCTCAGGCTTATTTTTTAGTTACCAGTTTTGATTCCTGGATTCTCTTGACAAATTTTGCAGTTCAACTTTTGGATTAAAACCCTGCATGAAACTGTAGAGTCTTGACCTCCTTGTCCAGTTTGGGTCAGATTGCAGAGTGAGTATGCAAGAGGAAAAACAAGAAATATTCAAGAGAAGGGAGAAAATTCAAGTATATCAGTTCACCCTGAAGAAACTAGACGTATAAGTTTACGGGCATTTTGAAAGTCCAGCTTCAGTCCAACTACATTTTTTTAAAATATGTAAATATCTTGACTGACTTGGTCACATACCAGCAAATTACCCTCTTTACTGCAATTTACCCCACTTAAAAAAAAACCTAGTCCTTGACTGTTCTTTCTATATTTTCCAATCAGTCAGTGATTCGTGGAAAATGTTGACAAGATTAAGTGAAGAAATCCAGGAAAAGCCTGTAAAAATGTGAACTGACTAAAACCTGACTTGCTCCATCAACATTGACTGAAACTAACTAGAAAGCATGTGCCAAAGACTATTTCAAGGCTTTCAACATTCCTTCAACACAAAAACTAAATCTCAATATTGTATTTAAAAAAATTCTCACTCTGGGAAACATTCAGGTTTGATATCCGATGATGAAAAATCCTTCAGTGACGCCCAACAGAAAAATATTTCCTCGCTTATTAGCTGACGCCGATGTTCTGACCTGTTCCAAGATAACAATAAAACTAACGCTGGCTCAACCTGACCATTACATGGCCAAATTAAAAGTAGGAACAGCTCCTCCGCTGCAGCATGTTATCAGTGTGAGGGGAGATATGAATGAAGAAAATACGAGTAGCCCCTCTTAATTGATCTTGCTCGCGATCTCATTAGCATACAGAGCGTTGTGCTGTATATTCTCCATGTATGAGCAGAACAGGCATCTCTCAATGCCCCTTAGAGAAACCAAAAACATGAAAGAAGTGGGAAGATGTACAAGTATTGACTCATGTTAGGTGAAAGGAGTTTCTACACATAAATAATTTGATTTTAAATCACAACAAATCCAAGGCAAACAACACACTTTTAATGGATTCTCATCCCCATCCGCCTAAGGCTTCAGGTTATTTCACTCCGTATACAGTACTACTGTTCAGCAACACAGTTTTGCAATGAGTCTCTTTCTGCTGACTCCCCATTGGACCTTTTTCAAAGTGGACATTTTGGCATGTCGCTGCAGGAAAAGCGCAGGTGATTAATAACACAAATAACAAGCACATTCCATTTAGGTGAGCTGCTTCCAGCTCCATTGTATTTACTGTGCTGGCTCACTGACAGAAGCACTTAATGGAACTAAATTTGTCAAATGTCGGCTCCAAATGTCCGCCATGAAAGAGGTGTTTTTCAAGTGGTGGGGACTCATTTAATGAGATTTTGGACCTGACTCTGCATGCAAGGTTGTGTTAATGTTATTTTGACACAGTCTCAAGTATCTGGGAGTCGCAGCGCTGAATTGAAAACAATAGCTTTGCTGAGAGGAGGAAGTTAAAAACTTTTGGTTCAGTTGGTTAGCTTTTTATGAAACTGAATAATGTCTGCATGTTTTTAACAAAAAGGCTTAAATACGAAGAGAGTGTTTCTTTATTATGCTGATTTAGACATAAGTACGGCAACTGACAGGCCGCAGCTCGCTTTTTGAGAGATTTAACTGATTCTAAAGCAGCTTTATGACTCTACTGGACAAAAAGTTAATCTTTAACAAATATAACATTTCATGAATTCAAGTGAAAAGAAGCAGTGAAAGAAGTATGTGCGTGATGCAGATAAAGGGTTTAGTTTAGAGTAGGCTCAGCCAGGGATTCAAAATAATACTCACACCAGAAGTGCGACATATCTGTACTTTGTCACAGCCCAGTTCTTTCACTTATCTCATGTTCTGCATAAATACAATAACACAACCACCAGCGATACAGCACCAACATGTTCCCTTCTTTGAATATGTGTGACTTCAGTAAGTTGCTCCTGAAGACATAAGGAAATATTAACTTCAGAGTGATAAGATGTTTGAGTGACAGAAAATCACCTTTACCGAGTTTAAATGAGAAACTATGAAAGATTTGACGCACCTAAATCACACCTAAAGAGTCGAAACAGCCTAAGGACTTGATTCAAACAAAACTGTATTGTTAAAAGGACACTCACACTTTGGAGGGGATCCCCAGAGGACAGTCAAGATGGCCGCATGGCTCCCACAATTTGTTTAAATACTTCCTGGTCAAACCATTGGGCAACCAGCTGAATATAATGACTCAAAGAATACAGAGGATAAAAAAGTTTCTCTATTTATGCTTTAAAATGTTTAACTATTTTACAGAATAACCTTCAAGTTAGAGTTAATCTCATGACGGCTGAGAGTAAAGTAAACAAGAGAGAATATTATCAACTCCACTCCCCCATTGAAAAGTCTGTTTTGGTACAGTCCTTACTCCTAGCCTGATAGAGTATGGGGCATTCAAGTACGCTTGTTCATTAGAGCTTCGGACACAACAAGGGAGTAGTAACTGTAGAAAAAATGCCTCAAAAACAAAGCAAATTAAAAACAAGATGTCTGTTACCAAATTTAAAAAAGCTTCCTTTTATCACTTCATTTGGTAGAGATGAAATAATATAAAAAAGTCACAGTATATGCGCAGGTAAGGTTTTCTTATTTATTTAAATCTGCAAGGACAAGAAGCATAACAACAGTGTGTGAGGCTGCTCTGCGAGTGTGTAACACACTCTTCGTGTCAGAGTTTGGTACTGAACACTTTTGGCTGTTTAGTGGAATAGCCGAGTCAGCACTTCATTTTTTTTCCCTCCAATATCTCTTTTATCATCTTTACACACCTTGTTCCCCTGTGCACCCCATCCTCCACTCTGAACTCTTGCCTCTAATATTCAAATTCAATCTCTTGTTCCAGCTCTAGTGCTCTCCTTATTTTCTTTATTGCTTTAATAATGTTCCCCTTCCCTTCCTCTCCTCTGCCGGTACAGAGGGCAAAGGAACACTGAGGATTCAAGTTTTCAGGTGTGCTGTAAATGAGCCCCTGTTGAGCTTTCATTATCATGATTAATTACAACATTTAGTTGCTTGATCGTCAGTTAGTTGGCAGGTCCATGACTTCTGTACATATTAAAACTACTTCTTCCATTACTGGATAGGTTCATTTTAAAAGTGTCCCAAAAATTGTGTGTGTGCTCAGGAAATTTTGAGCAATTAACACCTAATTTCCTGCATTCTGTTTAACATTTATGAAACATTTAGTGGTGGAATTTAATTATGTAAAGGACAAATAAACTTATTGATAAATAATTAGCAATCAACTCAAGCTACATGAGGCTCCAACTCGGGTAAGATTTGTTATTTTCACATGCTTACTTTTTGAAACTGAGTAGTTCTTGTGAGGAGTTATTTGACATTCAAGAAATAAACTGATATTCATATTGATGCCTTTTTATGATATATAAAAGCAAACGAGACCATCACAGACAAGATTGACCATTCCTATGGTGTAGCAGTTTCTGAAGCAGCTAGACTCAGTATGAATACAAACAAGATGTTATTTTGTGGTTTCATGGTTGATATCCTGCTCTTTTGGATATTAGTCGTTGACTGCTGTACCTCGACCACTGGTAAGCAGGACATTTAATTGAATCGTGTTTGGTATTCATAAATTGTGTCCGCCTTGTTGAGCTGTTACCTGCAGATAAACTTCACAGTCAAAAGTCCTGTTGTGGTTGACATTGATCAGGGATCGACCATGTGGTTGTTTTTGTGTTAACAATAAAGACACAATCAATGAGTTTCTTTCACTTATGTGATCTGATGCATTGTGGGGAGTGATCATATGTTTTTTTTGTAATCTACTGGATGATATACGGTGCTTGATATCCTTTCAAGGTTGATCTTCTCTGTTCATCTTGATGAGAATAGACACACACACACTGTAAAAAGTTTCTTAAATGACCCCCCTCTACCCCAGAAGAAAGGAGCCCACTGATTGGCTGGATCAAAGAAGGTCTCTGATTGACCGACTGTGACCAGGTCCCTGATTTGGCAGATAGAAGGAGTCTTCTGATTGGCCAATTGGAAGGAGTTCTCTGATTGGACAACTAACAGAAGGTATTTGACTGGCTGGATAAAATCAGGTCCATAATTGGCCAAATAAAAGGACTGTTGCTGCGTTCCAGTAACCTCGGAAGTCGGATATCGGTCTGGGAATGACGTTACAGCCGAGTTAATAGCGTTGAAAAGATGAACGCCTACTGTTGGCCATTGTCAGCTGTTGTTAGCTAAACCAGTTGTAAACAACGCATAACACAGTGTTGCGCTGCCATCTTGGATTATGACGTTGTCGTCAAGTCGGGGTTGCTGAGGATCGTCCAACTTTCTGAGTCAGAAATCCCAACTCGGGGGGGCGTTCCTGATGGATTTCCAACTCGGAGCCCGGAAATCACGACTTTTGAGTACGACTGGAACGCAGCAAATAACTCTCCCTTTTCCCATTCTTATCTTCATAGTTTATTTCCTTATTCTTCTTTCCTGTCCTCTTCCTCATCCCTTGTCTATCTCTACTTCAACCCTGCCCCATTGAACCCAAACCATACGAGTTACAGAAGTCTAACATTGAGGTGGGGCATCTTTGGTACCCCATCTGGGCAGACCTGGATCTGAACCCAAGATCTTTGACTGAAAAGCAGGGACTTGTACCATTACACCACTGGTAAGCCCCATCCTCTCTATTTTTTGTTTCAAGGCTTTTTTTATTCAAATTTTTATTAAACAGTTTAAAATGTAATTTGAGTCCAGCAATTTTCTCCATTGAGCACCTTTGTCCTCCATTTAAACCCTGAATATTTTCATACAGGGGCAGGAGCCTTCACTATTAAACTACCAGTTTGTCTGGCAGTGCTTGCATTTGTAGGCCCTTATCACCTCTACTTTTTCACTGTGGGAGTTTAAAACACTAATTTTAACCACAGTCCAAACTACATGTGTAAAGAAAGCAGCTGTTCCTGGCTGACATAAAGTGCCACTATTCTGGATTTGACCTCTCAAGAGACAGCGACCTTAACCACTACACTATAGATGAGCCTGGCAGATCGCACTTTTGTAGGTGCTTCTTACTTTTATTTTTCATTTTATTCATAATGTTCAAAACCACAGGTTAGCAACGTGAGTTCAAGTTTCCGCTGTAGACTCACGAGGTGTGCATTCTCTCTACCCTATAGTCTTGAACCCAAGGTCTTTGGTTGAGAGGCAGCAGCCTTCACCACTTTGCTACAGGTTAACCTATCTCTGTATGCTTTTGTAAATCCTGATTCTTTCTATTTTTGACAGTGGGAGTGCAAAAAACGTGGTTTCACCATAGGTAAGGACAACATTGTCCTCCTTGTTCACATAAAAAAGTCCCTGTTCTGGATTTGAACCCTGAATCTGTTCATTATGAGGCAGCAGCCTTCAACACCACAGGTGAGCTTAGCTGAATTTGCTTTTTAGGTGTTTTCATTTCTCTGTTTCATTTTTCAAGAGCACAGCTTAAAGTACATGTGAGAAAAGCATGGCAATTTACACTCTCAGGAGCAACTCAACTTTACTATTTGAAACAATATGTCAACTAAGTAGTCAATAGATTAAAATATAATTAGGCTCAGGGGATTACAGACTAAATGCAGAAGTATTATGAAGGACCTTTTCCTGTATGCTTTTTGAGCAATCCTATGCAAAAGTCCATAACAATAGAATTTTCACATCGTTTTCTTTTCCAACTTTGAAATCAATTTAAACAAAGTACTTAATTTGTGGTCAGTGGCTTTTATATATTTTGGCTCAAGGCATTACAGACTTAATGCACAAGTATTATTGAGTACTATTACTTAGCACTTTTTGAGTAATCCTTTGCTTTTAATCATGTTCTAGTATGAACTTTTTAACTAAAATCTAAAGGTGTGAAATGACCAACTTTTTTAGCATCTAAATGCATTTCCATGTAGTGGAAAAGTAAGTTATTTCATGTACAGTACAAGTAGTTCAAAAACGATCAGAGGGTATTTTAAGGTTCAAATAGGACACTATGTTTGCAAAAGTCCATTACATGAATTCACCAGAATTAATTAAGTGTTAGAAGATGAGCTGAGATGGAAACAAGGCAGACAGTACTCCTTTGAGAGAGACAGATAAGCATTTAGGATGATCTGAAAATGCAGATTTTGAGAAAGAAGGAGGATGTGTGGGATGTTGATTTTGGTGTCTGAGGTTCTGCTGTATTCATTTTTTTTTAATTTGCACTTGAAATTGTTCATTATCAACAAAACTTGAGGATTACTTTTCAAAACATGGTGTCCACAGTACACACAATGCATCTCAAGTTAGTCAGTCAGCACGTTAACATGACACTCAAGAAAACCAAATTATTGTCTTACTCCGAATAAGACCAGACGACTGAAGTGCATGTAAACACCTTAGCCCGACTATAATCAGTTTGAGAACTCCAACTGGAGTTGAGGAACTCTGATTAAGACACCAAGATAATGGGATTAGAATTCGATTTTCTCTACCATGTAACCAGCGTAGTTGGAGTATGATTGGACAATGCATGTGCACATGCGCCACACCTCTGTAACCCCAGAACAAAAACACCAGAGAAGAAGTGGCACTATCATTTAAAGAACTTTCGACTCAGAAGCAACTGCAACGTGGCTGAAGCACGAAAGAATGTCCACTTTTGAAACGACGAGGAGAGTGCCGTTATGCTTTCCGTCCTGACAGACATGGACATTATAAAGTATATGGACGGTCGCGAAATAAGGAATGGAGACATCTTTAAAAAAGGTCCAGAAACAGCACCACTGAAAAGATCCAAACTGCCCCCTAGTTTTGGGAAGCAGGACACGTTCATGCCAATAATTCGATTTTCTCAGCTGCATGCATACGCGGACAAGAAGAGAAGTCCGATTCAGCAAAAAAAAAAAAAAAAGAGCTTAGTCAGATTATGCTGTGCATGTAAACGCACAGCGTAAAGGTGTTTTGACAAACCTCTTTAAAGCAGTACCGTGTGTGTATAGACCTGTTGACAGACCTTTGTATAAAACTGGTTAAGTTAACCTTCAATCACTGAGTTTCCCTCTGAGGTAAATACAGTATTCTGATTACATTTTGGGGGGGAGTTGAAAGTACTTACTCAACCTGTTTTTTTGCCTGATACAGT